TATGGTTCATGGGGTCACGAAGAGTCAGACACGACTTAACGACTGAACAACAACAACAATCTCTGATGAGGTTCAAACTCATTGATACCAACTTTCCATAGAATACTATTTTGTTTATGTAAGCCTATAAATACAGTACATGCAAATAAACAAGAGATGGCTTACATCTCTCCCCACTCCTTATTTTACTGGTAGTCAATCCAAGATACAATCCAAGGTATCAATATCCTTCTTCAGGTTACGAGAACATATAAAAAAACCCTCAAATTCTTGTCAAATAGATTAGAGCAATACTATGATCCATATTCTTAATCTAGAAATGATCCCTAAGAAAAGGCTCTCTGAATGGTTTACTTATTATAACTTATCCCTAGAGGATACCAGGAAAGCAGACTATCAACCTTCTGCTAGAGTTTGGGTAAATTTAGCCAACATGCAGCTGGCAAACTGTATTTTGCCAAAATCTGGTTTTAAACTTAATCACACATTGGGGAAAAAAGTTCAGATAAGGTAACTAGCAGAATGGAAAGGTTAAGACCATAGGGTGGAGGGCTGGAACTTTCAGATCTCATTTCCTAGAACCCCTCTGGGTCCTCACACCTGGGCCCCATTCTCCTGCTTCAGGTAGTAGCTTGGCAGTTGAATTGAGACCACCCATTCTCTAGTTAGTGGGAGGGGATACAACAGTAATCACCAAAGCTGCCACACTGAATCACCCTACTGCTGTGAAATCACCAATGTCTCCGCCTTGGAGAAAGGCTACTATAGTCTTAGTGACAGACTTTGTTTGCTTATTTATTCAATTTGGAGGCTGCCCAGCTCCATAGCAACTCTGGGCAGTTTACAGATAATAAAAGGAAACAACCTATATCAAGAAGAAAAAGAAGACAGCTGACCAGAAACCCAAAAGCCAAAACAGCCAATTGGCCAATAACCAACTAAAGGCACTCAATCCCCTTCCTAGCCCAGGGCCTGGGAAAACAGCCAGGTTTTGAGCAGTTTATGAAAGGTCATAAATGTGGGAGCAGTACGGATCTTGAGGGGGGATATGATTTTACAGGGCAGGAGCCATCACTTAGGCATGGTTCCTAGGTTCTGTAACATGACACTGCCTAATAGACTGGATCTGGAATGTGCTCACTCTAACTGACATGACCAAACAGACAGAAATATATGGAGATCAGTAGTCCTTCAAGTAACCCGGCCCTTTGCCATGCAGAGCTTTATAGGTGATAAGCATCACCTTGAACTGCATCCAGAAGCCAGATGGCAACCAGTGCAGCTGGAAAAGCAGCAGGGACACAGGTGCATACCACAACATACCCGTCAGTGCCTGCGCTGTTGCATTCAGCATCAGCTGTTTCTTTCCAATGGTTTTCACTTAGAGTGTATTACAGTAATCCAATTAAGATGTGACCAAGGCATGAGTGACTGTCTGAAGACTCTCCCAATCCAGAAACCTGTGCAAAGGCCCTCTTGGCCACAGCTGCTCTTTGATCAGGAGATGTGATTCCAAGAGGACCCCCCAGACTATGCACCAGTCTTGCATGGGAAAGTACAACCCCATTTCTTTCAGTAAACAACAGGTTTCTATGTCTTTACTACCTTCAATTGAATCTTGCTACATCATGGATCTACCCATCAGGTTGACTTGTTCTGTAATATCACTTCAATACAGGACTATTTGACAGAGCTATTATGAGTCAGAAAATTAAGATCTCTACTTTTTTTCCAACTAGCCCATCCAAATAAGCAGCTTAATTATAAAGATAAGAGTGGGTAAGCAGAGTTCCAAAGTGTATTGGCATTTTATTAAAGCGGTAATGCAGAAGACTTTGCAGAACTTCATCCTCACAACACATCTGATTGTCTGCAAATGGCCATTCTGTCTACCATCTGACATTTTTTTAAAAAAGCTTCTTTGAAAAAGAACAGTACAAACTTGTAACATTCTTTTGTAGAACATAAAAGGTGTATTCTAAAAATATGGCTCTTTTTAAGTTTGTGCTGTCATCAGGTACTTCACTGGGACAACAGAAAGTAAACGAGATTCTGTACAGATTAGGGTTCTTAATGGCGTGGGAAAGCAAGTGAACAAATAGCTCCATTTCAGTAAGACATACCTCTGCAATGCAGCAGCTGAGAGAAAACAAAGAGAGACCCAATCTGATTTGATCTCTGCTCTTATGGATTCAGAGGCCATGGTAATTTAGTCTTAAAAAGCCAAGCACACAGACAGGCGCATTTTGGTATTTCTTTAATGTATAGCTGTATGAATTTTTGCAAAGCGGATGGGGACTCACCTCTTTCTCAAGCAAACACACTGAAGATATTCTTAAAGTGTCTTATTGATTCAGTTTTTAGCAAAGAATTTCTATGAAGGTTATATTGATCACGAGTTATGTTCTACCTCTGCCTTCCTTCTCACAGAAACCAATGATTCTTTTATCATTCAGATTAGCAGAAGCCAGATGGACCAACATTCAACTTTATTCAACTTTCATGATGAAATAGAGACTTCCTATGGATTAAGGCATTGGACTAGAAGCATGTAAACCTGTGTTCTAGTGCTGCCTTAGGCATGGAAGCCAACTGGGTGACTTTGGGCCAATCACTCCCTCTCAGTCTTAGGAAAAACGCAAAGGCAAACCACTTCTGAAAATATTGCCTAGAAATCTGCAGGAACTTATTCAGGAGTCATGCCAAACAAAACAAAACCACCCAAGATAGCAGGCTAATGTATGGGTGCAGCACAAGTTCTATGGCATATTTGTTTACCAGGACAAGTTTTTCTTTTTTCATGAATTGGAGATCATCTCAAATTAGCTGATAAGAACAGAAGGAAAAGAAGGAATGGCCCAAAGAAAAGGTGGAAAAGACTGTAGACCTTCCAGCTGAAAAAAGATGCCGTTGAAGATGAAATGCTGCTTGAAAGGGGCTGCTTGTCTACTAAATTTCATCATTTTGGTAATGTCTAAGCATGGTTCTTTTTTCTTCCTCTTTCCTTAATTTTGTCACCCATCTCTATTTTGATCTCCCCCCCCCCTTCTTTGTTGCTGTTTCTGCTGGAAGCAGAGAAGGGTGTGTATATGCTTGTGTGTGTACTTGTGTACCTCTTTGTAAGAAGAGTAGTTTGAATGAGAGAGAGATTGATTGGTATATAGCAGTGTTTCTCAACCTTGGCAACTTTAAGACGTCTGGACTACAACTCCCAGAATTCTGGGAATTGAAGTCCAGACATCTTAAAGTTGCTAAGGTTGAGAAACATTGCTGTATAGAGATGAGGGACCAATGTGTCAGCAAGTTGCATGCACTTCCAAGTTGATGGGATATAGGCCACAGACTATTATCTTGCAAGTTTGGTAGAGCCTAGCATGACAGAATAGCACGAGCATGCATGGAATAAAGCTGGGCTTCAGTTACAGTGATCTCCAGCGTAACCTATTTTATACCATTGAGTTTTATTTTGTACTGGTGTTTCACCACAATGAAGAAGTGAAATGAAATGTTCTCTGGCTGGGGCTACATTGGAAATTGGAATTGGTCCAGAATTCAACAGCAAGATTGTTGGAGGCTGCTTGCAGCCAGGACTACGATACACTAGTGCTGCCAGGCCAATACTGGTTACCAATAGAAGAGAATACATGTAGCTCGGGGTTGAACTGTGGAGTCCTTGGGTTTCTCTGAGCTTGGTTGTTTTCTTGCAAACGTTTTGTTACCATTCGTTACAGTAACGAAACGTTTGCAAGAAAACAACCAAGCTCAGAGAACCCCAAGGACTCCACAATATTGGTTACCAATTTGTATATGGGCTCAATTCTGGATGGAGAGGCCTTTCTCTATGTTCCAACAATGGCAGAGGCATAATCAGTGACGACACAGAAAAGGTCTTCTCAGCATCCTCACCTAAACTATAGAATCAGTAGATGTACTTTCTGTCAACATATACCAGGAAGCAAAGGATATAAGAACATCAACCAATATGATCCATTATTGTATTGTCGAAGGCTTTCATGGCCGGAATATGATGGCTGGTGTGGGTCTTCCGGGCTGTGTGGCCGCATTCTGGAGGTTTTGTTTCCTAATGTTTTGCCAGCATCTGTGACCGGCATCTTCAGAGGGCAGGAGCACAGACAGGAGCTGTTCTCTCTGTGCCCAGGATGAGCACAGGAAACAAAACTTCCAGAACGTGGCCACACAGCCCGGAAGACCCACACCAGTGATCCATTATTGTTAGTGTTGGCAAAAGTTTCCTGCAGTATACAGCAGGCAGTTAGTTTTGTATATGGAGAGCACACTTTTTGTAACCATTTTTTCTGAAACTTGCAATGATGCTATGCTGTCACTGAAAAGTGGAAAGTATGCTATCTTTTTCACCATTTGTAAAAGGGCATTTTAAAAATGTTTATAGGGATGAAAAGAATACACCAATTTCTTTTATTTTCCAGCTGAAAAACACAAAATTACACTGCTAAAACTACAAACTAGAACCAACTTTTAGAAGGTCTCTGTGGGCCACAATGAGGCTTTGAGGGAAGTGTTTGAAACCCTGGTACCACAATTCTGTGGCTCCTTTATTCTGTGCCTTCAGGTCAACAGTAAACTCAAACATTATCACAGTCTCTGGTGGTGAGAAAGTAGGTCTAGTTATGTACATATTTTTAACTTCTCCGTAAAGTTATAGCTGATATGTATACAGCAGCCATATGATTTCACCTGGAATTAAATACCCTTTCCCACAGTGTCTCTTTGATATACTCTTTATGGATCCACCACTTCTGGAACTCAGAGAAAGTGCAAAATACAGCTTTTTAAACATGCCTGGGTCAGCCCCCAATAGACCAGGGAACCAAGCAGTGGCCCAATCTTGGAGAATTCTAGATGCTACAAAAACAGGGATGAAGGCTGTATGTAGCCCACCGGCTATAGGTTGCAAGCCCCTCCCCTACACAAAATAAAGAGCTACCACTTCACTTCTCCAAGTTTGCTTGATACTTTAAGTGATTATCTTAATTTACAGAGGAAAAGGTTTCAGGTATCTCAACAGTACAGGTAGCCCCCGGGTTAAGAATGCCTAGGTTACAAATAACCCATAGTTAAGAACGGAGCCTCTTGTAACAGAATTCGAGTTAAATACACAGTGATTCGAGTCAAATACGCAATGGTTTGAGTTCATTACACAATATTATTTATACAGTATTATACAATAATACTGTTCTAGCTTACATACAAATTCGACTTAAGGACAGACCTTGGGAATGGAACACAGTCTTAAACTGGGGACTGCCTGTAGTCCAGATTGCATGTTAGTTGTACATGTCCCATATTTATAATAAAACTATATATATATATAATATCTGTATATTTACCTTAATTCCAGGTAACCCAGGAAGTCCAGGAAGTCCAGGTTCACCCTACCAAATTAAATTATACAGCATTGTAGTAGAACATTACATTATTTTAATAGCAGAAAAATGTTGCATAAGTATGTAAGTCAAAAGTAAATATGTTGAAGCATTTACTGTAAGTAGCTATGTCTGCTACTTGCAAAAACTACTCATTTAATGTAATGGGACAAAATTTCAGTTCATTGGAAAAGAGACCATGACTTTTCATATTATACACATACATACATACGTTTGTACGTACGTATATATATATATATATAT